CACCTGCGGACTCATGGTTCCCGGGTTCGGTCTTGTCCAAGGACATGTACCTTGGTTGCGCGCACATACTCAGTAGTGTGTGCAGGAGGCAGCTGATCGATGTTTCTCATTGATGTTTCTAACTCTCTATCCCTCTCCCTTCCTCTCTGTAAAAAAATCAATAAAATATATTAAAAACAAACAAACAAAAAAAAAAGGCGTCGATCTCATTCGAGTCCTTCGGGAGGGTTGCTGTGGCCAGTGGCCCAGGGAGAGCTGCTTGCTGCCGGGAGCCCCTCTGAGGTTAGTCCTGACGTCGTGCGGCTGGTCTGCAGAGGCTGAGGGAGCCACGTCCAGGGCCCCTCTGCAGCCTGATACTTAGGGGACAGTTAGACGAACGCTGTGACCCCAGGAGGCAGCCTCACCTTTGGGACCTTCTCCCTCCGCATCTAGAGACGACGCTGGTAGAGAGTTCTGGGCCCAGGTTCCCAGCGAGGGTTCCCAGAACAGGAGTTTGTCTCCTAGGCCCGGAGGGGACCGGTCGCGTCGTGTTCACAGGCAGGGACTTATGTGCTGTCCGCCTGCTTTTGAAGGGACACCTTGAAGCAGCATGGTGCCGGCGCCGGGGGCACGAGGAACATCTCTGGAACCAGCAAGTTCCACGTGGACCTGGAGCAGGAACTGGCCGACCTCCACGGGAAAGACGCGGCCCTCTTGTTTTCTTCCTGCTTCGTGGCCAACGACTCGACCCTCTTCACCCTGGCTAAGATGATGCCCGGTAGGGGAGCCCCGGTCCCTGCTTTCTGTGGTTTCCGTTTCCCGTGGTCAGCTGCAGTCCAAAACTATTACATGGAAAGTTCCAGAAACAAGTGATTCACAGGTTTTCCACTGGGTGTAACTCTGAGTTGTGTGATGCAATCTCCGGAGTCCTGCTCCGTCCCACCTGGGCCCTGACTCATCCCTCTGGCCAGGTCTCCCGCTGCACCGCTCCCTGCAGCTAGTCACTGAGCGGCGGCGTCTCGGTCATCAGATTCGCTGTCATGATAGTGGTGTTGTGTTGGTCTCCCTTACCTACTAATAACGGCCCCGAAGCGCAGGGGCGCTGCTGGCGATGCGGACGTGCCCAGAGCAGCCGTGGAGTGCTCCCTTAAGTGACGAGGGGAAAGTTCTTAAGAATAAAAGTTGTATGGTGAGGTGGCTAAGGTCTGTAAGAAGAATTCTGCCCCTGAGATTGCTCAGTGTGTGGATTAAACTCGAGCGGAGGTGTGTGCGTCCAGGAGAAGCAGGACTGTGCGGCTCAGTCCTGCCGGCGGTTCCGGCTCCCCCGGGGGTCTTGGAACATGGCCCCTGCGGGCAGCGGGTTAGTGTGAGAGGAATGTTGACAACAAAGAGGCTTAGCACCAGTTACGAGGAGTGGCGTGCCTGGGGCATTTGTTCTTGATTTGGGCGTGAGTGCTGGCTCGCATTCTAAGTTCCAGCCGAAGGTGACCCCAGCGAAGGGTCAGATTACAAGGGCTTGTCCAAAGCTCATTGCTCCAGATGCGCTTTGTGTTCTACGGAAATCCCGTGGGAAATTCTAATTGTTTGTAGCTCTCTCTTGACTGAGTTTGGAGTGAGGCAGCCAGATTTAAAAGCAGGTTAATCGCCTGCTGCGGGCGACCTGCGCCTGTGGGCCTTCTCGAAGGAGAAGCCCTAGTCAGGAATTTTGCAGGAAGAAACAGGCTCGCAGTGGCTTTCTCCTACCGGGCGGAAGCAGCGTTTTCTGTGCAGTCGGTTGTCCCTGACTGACTAGGAAGTAACTTGTCTTCGGTGCAGATGGCAATAAATAAACATTTTTTGTCTGTGTCAGGCTGTGAGATTTACTCTGATTCTGGGAACCACGCCTCCATGATCCAAGGGATTCGGAACAGCCGGGTGCCCAAGTACGTCTTCCGCCACAATGACGTCGGTCACCTCAGGGAGCTGCTGCAGAGGTCCGACCCCCAGGTCCCCAAGATCGTGGCGTTCGAAACCGTCCACTCCATGGACGGTGAGTCTGCGCAGGGCCAGTCTGCAACCTGAACTGAAGGACTGGCTTGAACTCTTCCTTCTTGTCTTTTTTTTGAACTCTTTAAAAGTGTCTTTATTTTGGCTTTGTAATTTCTTTCCTTTGACTTGTCTGCTAGGGTTTGTGATTGGTGGACATTGGATAGATTTGGGTAAAGGTAGAGTTCCTACTCTGGCTTTTACTCGGCTCTAAGACCCCAAGTCCACCTGGAGACAGGGAAGTGTTAATGATAATACCTGGGACATGTCGTTAGTCCCGGCTGACTCACCGGGACAGAAGGCGGAGGCGCAAGCCCTCAGCGTGGTCTGTGTCCCCGCAGGCGCGGTGTGCCCGCTGGAAGAGCTGTGTGACGTGGCCCACGAGTTCGGGGCGATCACCTTCGTGGACGAGGTCCATGCGGTGGGGCTGTACGGGGCCCAAGGCGGAGGGATTGGCGACCGGGACGGAGTTATGCCAAAGATGGACATCATTTCTGGAACGCTCGGTAGGTGCTCTGTGCGCCCTGCAGTCTGCATTGAGCACCACTGTCCCAGCGAGTCCACGGGCTGGCCTGGCGGGGCCAGGCAGGGAGCGTAGGAAGCCTGGGCCACTTTTGGGGTGAGTTTTTGTTTTCTCAGTGAGGGGCTGGCGCAGCCTAGCAGAACCCCTCGGAGCTGGAGGCCTGGCTTCCAGGTTCAGAGTAAATCTCACGGCCGGAACGACAGAAGTGTCTGAGCCCATCCAGACCGCCATGGCTCTCGCCACCGTCCGCAGCCTGCACTGTGCGCCTCCGACTGTCCCCTGGGTCAGAGAACTAGAATTCCAGTGCTGGTGTTCGAGCGGCTGTAGGACCAGAGGTTCGGTGTCGTGGTGCTGAGCTCTGTGCCACATGCCTGCCACGTGGGGACCAGTCACCTCACAGCTCCCCCTCCTCGAGAGGCAGGGTCTCCTGGGGCCAGACTCGGTGTAAGTCCTGTGTGCACAGCTCAGTCGCTGTGTGACCCCGGGTGCAGTTAGCCGTCCACGCCTCAGCGTCGGCAGTAGGACAGTGAGAACAGCCCCTCCCTCTGGTTCTGTGGAGAAGGTAAAGGAATCACGTGGAAGCATTTACTGTGGACATTCTCTTTGCCGATGAGGCGCTGAAGAGATGGAAATGTAAATCATAAATTTGAGGATTTCAAGTTAGTAAGGCACTTGGAGGCCCAAGTAGCAGTCGTGGAGGAGCAAGGACCCCAGGCGACCCAGGCAGACCCTAGGCAGGCCGACTGGCGAGCAGGGCCCCCCTCCCGGAGAAAGCCCTGGTTCACGTCCTAACCCGCAGCTCTTCCTTCAGCTGAGAGATGGGAAAGCATTTCCCAGGAAGAGCTTAAGCCACCCAGCCCTGCAGGGGGTCCCAGCAAGAATGTTAATTACAGAGCAGAGTGAATGGTGGCTCAGGGGAGGAGCTGGGGATCCTGAAACCTGAGAACAGGTTACATAAAGGGACTTAGGGGATGAGGCTGGCCCCAGATCACCCCACCCCCACGGGTTCTGAGTTTTCATGTTTATCTGGTAAATAAATGGTGATTGTCAGTTTTGTGTTTACTTAAGTAGGAAATAATACGGGTCCCACCAAAACAATGACGCCTTCGCTGGGTGACAGTCCCACCTCCAGGGTGATGCTCACAGGGAGAGGTCGTCCCAGAGCGCACGCCCAGGGGAGGGCAGGGAGCCGGCGAGCCAGGCTGCAGTGTGTTGTGCGGGCGCCAGGGTGGCACGGACTGTGGGCAGGACCTTTCCCGGTTTCCTCAGTTCCTCCCTTTGGGAGGTGGGTGGACGTCCTCTCCTTCAGTCTTAGGCCCAATGACGGAGGTAGAAGCAGGCGCCCTGCTGTGCACCCAGGGCCGCTGCCTAGTGGCCTGATAGCCTGTGTCTCCGTCTCCTTGCAGGCAAGGCCTTCGGCTGCGTGGGCGGGTACATCGCCAGCACCAGCGCCTTGATCGACACCGTGCGCTCCTACGCGGCCGGCTTCATCTTCACCACCTCCCTGCCGCCCATGCTGCTGGCCGGGGCCCTGGAGTCCGTGCGCATCCTCAAGAGCGCCGAGGGGCGGGCGCTGCGCCGCCAGCACCAGCGCAACGTCAAGCTGCTGCGGCAGATGCTCATGGACGCCGGCCTGCCCGTGGTGCACTGCCCCAGCCACATCATCCCTGTCCGGGTAATGGCGGCGGGTGGGCCGCGGGGCTGTGCTCCCCGGGCTGAGACGCTGGGTTCTCGCCTCCTGAGCTTGGGTGGGCGGCGGCGGCAGCCGGGACAGAGCAGTGGTCCCTTCTCCGAGCACTGGCCCTGACCCCGGGAGCCAGAGCTCGCTAGCTTTGACATGTGGCTTCCTGTTCAGTAACGCTGCTGGTGTCACAGGGAGTCGTGTAGTTAACGCAGTGGCGTGCCCCACGCTGCCTTCCCCCCCAGGTGTGCACATCTGCTGTGGGCCAGCTGGCGACACCCGTGGTAGACGCTGCCCCACCCACCTGGGGAGACCACTGAGAGCACCCCTCATGGTGCGGGTCTGTGTGGGGTCGGGCGGTGCACTGCCTCCCCGCTGGCCGTGCTGCTCAAACCTGTGCCCCACGGTGCAGGCTCATTAGACACTCCACTAAGAGGGAGTCCATCTGCTCTGACCTCACCTCCTGTCATCAACACAGGTGGCAGATGCTGCTAAAAACACCGAGGTCTGTGACGAGCTCATGAGCAGACACAACATCTACGTGCAAGCCATCAACTACCCCACGGTGCCCCGGGGGGAGGAGCTGCTGCGGATCGCCCCCACCCCGCACCACACCCCCCAGATGATGGACTACTTCCTGGGTGAGTGCGGACAGCCCCCCGCAGAGCGCACCAAGTCACAGCGCGCTCAGGTAGCCCCAAACAGAACGACACTGGGTGTTTGAGTCACTCAGAGGCTGCAGAGTCGTGTCGGAAGCTCTGAGGGAGCCTGCTGGTCCCCCAGGGGGTCCACTGCCCCTTGTTGATGGTGTCCTGGGAGGGGAGAGGCCTCAAAGGCGGGGCCTGTTCTGGCTCCTGATCTGGCTTCGCGCTCTCCTCCCTGAGGGTGTGTGATCCCAGAGCCAGCTGCACACCTGGCCACCCCACACCTACCCCTCTGATAAGAGTGGGGATTCAACACTCTACTCAGAAGGGTGTGCAGTTTAAAACGTATGAATTGCTTATTTCTGGGATTTCCCGTGTAATATTCTCAGGCCACGGTTGACCACAGGTAACATACTGGGAAGTGAAACTGAGGGTCGGAGGGTACTGTGCGCCGTCACCGCTGTCTGATTCCAGAATGTTCACCACCCCAGAGAGAAACCCACAGCCACTAGCGGCCACTCCCCCTTCTCTGTGACCCCGTCCACTGCCTGTGCTGGAGTCACTGGGTCCGTGGCCTGGCTTCCTCACAGTGTTTGCAGGGCCCTTCCAGGCCGTAGCGGAGTCAGGCTCCGTTTCTCTTTATTACCAAGCCGTCTTCCTTGAATGATGGACCACATTCGCCTGTCAATTGATGGGCATTTAGGTCCCACTCTCTGACTCTTAAGAAAAGAACGCTGCTGTGGACATCTGTGTCCTAGTTTTTGGATGGAGCTCTTTTCCTTTCTCTGGGGTATAGATTCCTCCTAATCCTAACTGTCTGCTCACAGAGTGTCTGCTGGCCACGTGGAAGCGCGTGGGGCTGGACCTGAAGCCACATTCCTCGGCCGAGTGCAACTTCTGCAGGAGGCCGCTGCACTTTGAGGCGATGAGCGAGCGCGAGCGATCCTACTTCTCCGGCCTGAGCAAGCTGGTCTCCGCGCAGGCCTGAGTGTCCTGAGCCCGGCCCGCTGCCCGCTGTCCCTCCCACATAGCCTCCAGTGTCGTCTGTCTGCGTGGACTAAATTATTAAATTTTAATCTATAGCGAAGGCACAGTCCTGAAAATAAATTCTTGTTTACGTGCTGGGTCCTCCTGTGTTTGGCTGCAGATTCAAAAAGTCATTTTCTTTTCCTTGAAGTTTGGTGTGTGTTGCTGAGATTTATAAAATGTATGAAAACACATCCTCTGGTAACGGCTTCAAACCTGCGGCAACGGCGGGGCCTCCCGTCGGCTCGAGCCCGGCTGCCTCTGAAAGCCGCTGTGTGGTGACTCATGCCCCGCAGCCCACGGCTCTGACATTTCACTTGCAGTTTCTCATCTCCAATCTTAACGGGCCAGCGCCGCCCAGCGACCCGCCGCAGCCGCCCGCTTCCCTTTCCCTTCAGCCGCTGCCTCCACTCACTTCCCTGGGAAAGGGGCTGGAGGCCACGCTGTGCTCCGCACCCTGACCCCTTCCCTCCTGTCCTGGGCCCACTGCTGCTTGCACATTCCCGGGACCAGCTCTGTCTTCTCCATGAATTGCTCCCCATCCTGCTCAGCCCCGTGGCCTGCATCAGACTTTGTCACTGCCTTAGGGTAACCAAACTCCTGACCTGAGGAGTGAGTGGGTGAAGATGGACATACAGACAGCGGACTATTACACAGCCACGAAACACATAAAACACGGCACTGCTGCGTGCTACTACCCGCGTCAGGAGAGTTTCATGCTAATCAGGTCGGACGGAAAGGACCAGAACCACATGGTTCCACTTACTGAGGGACGTAAAGCAACAAGAGGAGAAACGCAGCAGCTCGGCGGGTACCAGGGTGGGGGCAGGATGAGGGGCGTTGGATCCAGGTGACGAGGAGCCAGGACGAAGGAGCGGGGACTTGGGGTGGTGAGCGTGCACCAGGGTTCACAGAGGCACAGTGCACACCCGAAAGTGATAGCCAACCAACGTCACCCTGACAATTAAGATGGGTCCCTTCCAGCTGCGGCCCTGCCCTTTTCTGCTGGTCCCCCCCTTGGTCTTTGGTCCCTGTCCCCCATGGCGCCGCTCCCTCGGCGCCTCGCTGCTGTGGCCGTCCGTTTGCCTGCCGTGGGCTCTCCCAGTGGTATTGGAGGTGGCTGTCCTCAGCTCTTCTCTCCCCTGGGCTTCCAGGCCACTGATTCCTATTCTCCTCCTCTACCTGCACTTAACCCTGCCCGCCCCCCAACATGGTCTCCCCCAGCCGTCCAACACCTGCGCCACCAGGTCAGAGGGCACCTGGGTCTGCCGCTCCTCCCCCATCTGACTATCATCTGCCCGTCACTCTGACCTTGTGTGGAAGTGGGTCCCTCACGTGAGGCTCTTGGCCGGTTCCACCTCCCACATACGTCTGGGGCCAGGCCACCCCGGCACTCCCACGGCTACCACGGCTCACGCCGCCACCATCCTGACACCTGCCCGGCCTCGACCCCACAGAGCTGCCTGAGAGCTTCCCTGGTGGTGGTGGTGGTTTTCGTGTTAATCCTCACCCAAGGACATTTTTTCATTGATTTTTAGAGAGAGTGGAAGAGAGGGGGAAAGACAGAGCGAAACATTGGTGTGAGAGAAACACATCGATCGGTTGCCTCCTACACGAGCCCCGACAGGACCTGGCCGGGGAGGAGCCTGCACCTTGACCGGAATCGAACCCAGGACCTTTGGGTCTGTAGGCCGACGCTCTATCCACTGAGCCAAACCAGCTGGGGCCCGAGAGCTTTGCGTATGAATCGCATCACATCATGTCCCTCCCTGCAGAGCACGGTCCTGGGTCCCGGCTGCCCTCAGTGACACGCTTCCTCACGCAGCTGACGGTGATCTGGGGTCCCAGCCGCATCGCCCTCCCACCTCATTTCTTCCTCTGCAACACCGGTGGGCGGGCACCCTGAGCTTTGAAAACCCCAGGAGGGTCTCTGGCGCCCGGACTGGGGGTAGCCACTGTTTCTCTGCCCGGGTTTCCTACCCCGGGTCATGGTGGGGCTGCCTCTCCACACGCGACAAGGGGCCCGAGGACACCTGGCCCGGCCCCCGTCCTCAGCTGGGACCCCAGGAAGCCTCGTGGGTTCTGCCATCACCTGGCCTCCACCCACGCGCCTTCCAGGCACAGTCACCACCCAGGGACCCTCCCCGGTGGCCGGCACGGCACTGCACGGAGGAGGCACTGAGCCAGCGTGTGCGAGTGAATGGAGGGGGCAGCCTCGGCCCACGTGCTGTGACAGAACACAGACTCAACACAGACACGGATTCCTCACCGTTCTGGAGGCTGGGGGTCCCAGGCCCGGGGCGGCCCCCTCGGCTCCTGGTGAGCTCTCCTGGCTTGTCCGCGGCCGCCTTCTCGCTGTGGATTGAATTCTCGCGGCCTCTCCTCCGCACGTGGGCGGCGGGGAGATCTCTGCCTCTTCTCGCGAGGCCACTGTCCCTCGTGAGGGTCCCGCTCCACGCCCTCGTCTAACTCCCTCCAAAGGCCTCACCGCAAACGCCATCACACTGGGGTTAGGGCTTCGACATACGAATTTGGGGGGACCGGCGAGGGCCGGAGAGCTTTGAGTCTGAGTCACATCACGTCCCTCCCTGCAGAGCACGGCCCTGGGGCCCCAGCTGCACTCAGTTACACGCGTCCTCACGCAGCTGATTCCATAGCCGCCTGAGGAAGAGGCCAGGTGATGCCATGGCCAGGTGATGCCATGGCCAGGTGATGCCATAGCCAGGTGATGCCAAAGGACCTCTCGGCTGGGCTCCGCTCTTGGCTCCGGAAAGGGGCGCTGTGCTGGCGCCCCACCCGAGGGCTGGGCGGGGACACACGCACCTCTCAGCCCCGCTCTGGTCCCTCAGATGGAGCCGCACACCCAGGCCAGGCCCCGCATAGCGACTCTGCAGGCATTTCTCTCTGCTCGGGAAGCCACCCCACGGAGCTCTCAGTGTTCCCAGGGTCTCGCGGTCCCACGCCCGCCACTCCCTCCGGCCGGTTCCTTCCCGTGGGACTCGTCCTCTGGCGTGGCCCCCAGGTCTCTGAAGGCTTAGCAAGACCCGCGTCCTCCTCACAAGACTCAGAGCCCGCGGGGCCCACGGAAGGGTTGGGATTTGTGACCCGCGTGACAATGAGAAGCTCAGCTCCTGAGAACTCCTGTGGCCCTCGCCGGATTGCTCAGTGGTTAGAGCTCCAGTTCTCGGGCCGAAGGGTCCCAGATTCAATTCCGAGGCAACCAATGGATGTGTCTCTCTCACATTGATGTTTCGCTCTCTCCGTCTCTCCCCCTCCCTTCCACGCTCTCTAAAAATTAACGGGAAATATCCGCAGGTGAGGCTTAAGAAATGAAAAAAGAGCTCATGTGAACACGAATGACGTCATGGAAGTTTTCCAAGAACCTTTAGAAGCCTCCGGCATTCCCCTGGAGGGGAAGGGTGGGGTGCAGTTTCAAATCTTAGCAGGTGGCACTTCCTCTCAGGGTTCCTGTCTCCTGCCCACACCTCTGCAAGTCTAGTGCTCCCTGCTCCCCAGTTGCAAAACCTAGGAGGCCACGCCTGTGTCTGCAGGTGCCCGGCCCTGCTCCCGGCTCCCTGTGCCTCTGAGTCAACCACCTGTCTCTGATCCCTGTTCAGTGCTGGGGGTGGGGGTGGGGGTCCCTGGCTCGGGAGGCTCAATCTCTGGGTGGAGTGAGGAAATAGCAAAGCCACCTGAGCCCCTTACCTAGTAATGAGGACCCAGGAGGGCCTGCTAGGTTCATCAGACCTTCACACACGTTACCACGAATCCTGATCACGCTGTGGCCAGCCCCATTTACAGATGAGCAAACTGAGGCTCCACATGGGAGTTCAGACCTGCCCAAGATTGCCCACCTGGCAGAGCTGGTCACTGGGAGCCTGGGCGGGGGGAGGTTCCACCTGGGATGGCCGCGGGCAGACTCAGCTGTTCGGAGAGGCAGGCAAATTGTGCTTCCCGCAGGCAGGGCCTGCTTCCTGCCCGGATCCCGGAGCCGCTCAGCAGGGGCCTCCCCAGCCGCCTGCCCGCCCTGGGGCAGGACAGTTCTTGTTTCCTCTTCCCCCAGGCGCCGGCCCAGACCAGAGCCCAGGGAGTGCGGGCCGCTGGCCTTCACCTGCTCCTCCGGGAGCTGAGGTGTCAGCCGCCGGACAGGGCAGAGCCCCCGTGGGGCTCCTGGGGGTGGGTCAGATCCTCCTTTCTCCTTCAGCAAGCGGAGAACAGGGCACCAGCCCAGGCAGCAGCCCCTGCGCCCGGGTCAGAAAGAGGAGGGTGGTCTACCTCCTCTCCCAGCTGTGAGGGCAGAGCGGCCCGCCCACCCCAGGGCTGCCCACAGTCAGTCAGGCTGCCCACAGTCAGGCTGCAAGGTTAGCCAAGGCTGCGGCCAGCTCAGCCTTCCCCGTGGGGCCCTGAGCAGCCGTGCAGACCCACGCTGGCCGGGGCCAGTCAGGCTGGTTCCACTCTGCCGCCCGGGCCCGGCTCCCAGCCGGGTGGCCTGCGTCTCTGCGCCCAAAGCGCAGGTTTGGTTGTGGGGACGGGGAGGCAGCTGGCCCAGGACGAAGCGCCCAATGGCTCTGGGCCTGACCTGACCCACGGCTCTCGCGTGCACGCAGTAGGGACCCTGGCTGTCGGGGCTCTCTGTGGTGTCCCAAAATTCACACACACCCATGCACACGCACGCACATGCACACACACATGCACACACACATGCACATACGTGCACACGCGCTGCACACTCCATTCTGACCCCATGTGGCTGCTTCTCGGTCTCCGCTGTGAGGCAGGGTCCGGGGAGGGCCCAGCTTTGCTGACAGGCTCACCTCGCTGTCCCCTTGGTGCCAGAACAGAGGCCCAGACGTGCTCCAGGGGACGCAGAAAGGGGTGGGCGGTGAGCTCCCTCTGGAACCCTCTGTGGCTCCCTGCTCCTGGGGCTGCTGCTGCGGGATAACCCGCCGGCCTTCCTCTCCCAACCTGGGCAGCCACGCCGGGCGCAGCACAGGCATGGCCAGCAGAGGGCGCAGTCGCCCCTCTGAACTCACCACGGGGCTTTCCCCACCATCCATCCCCTGGGGCCGGGACTGCTGGGGGCAAGAAATGAAGCAGGCGAGGGAGACAGACCCTGAGGCCAATATACCACCGAGGTGGCTGGCACTGCTGGGATGCAGAGGAGGGGGCCCAGCCTGCTCCTGGGAAGACCAAGACCACGCTCCCGTGCCCACTTCGGCAGCACACATACTGAAATCCGAAGGATACAGAGCAGATTAGCATGGTCCCTGTGCAAGGATGACACGCAAATTCATGAAGCGTTCCATTTTTTTTTAAAAAAAGACCACATTCCGTGACCTTCTGCAGAACCGCCCCCCCCCCGCAACACAACCCCTCGGCAGCTTCCCTCCCCTGCAGACCCCCAATCGCCTCTAGTCCCTCTTCCCTTTAGGAGGCCCGGGAATTCCCCCTTCTTTCCTCCCATTCACACCTCCGGAGCTCAGCGTAACCAGTAGCCGGGGGCCTGCCAGGAGCATTTATTGAGTGCCTGCTGTATGCCAGGGGCCTCGGCCCCTCTGCAGAACGAGGCAGGCTGGGGCATCCCAGGCAGAGGGCACGGCGAAGGCGGGGCTGGGTGTGCTGGCTGCCCCCCCACTTCTCCCCGCCCCTACTCGGCCGTGGTGGGGCCCCGGCAGAAGTTTCGGTTGTAGAAATGGTGGTTGTCCCTGGTCAGGGCCACGCCCAGCTGGGCCCAGAAGCTGCTCTGGCCGCTGGGCTGTTGGGGCCAGAGGAGGACGCTCCGGCGGCAGAGGCGCTGGCGGAGCTGCACGTAGCGGGAGCGGTGGGCGTCGGGGCTCCAGATGGCCAGCACCACCACGTCCTTGCGGGTCCTCCAGCAGGCGCTGCTGGGCCAGCAGGAAGCTGGCGCGCACGAGGCCCCTGACTGTGTCCTGGTGGGCCAGCACGAACAGCGTCTTGCGGCTGCTGTAGACCGAGGCCCACAGGTTCTCGAAGAGCGTCTTGCCGGGCAGCCAGTCCCGCTCCTCCAGGCACAGGCGCAGCGCCCGGCGCCCGCGGCGCTCCTCCAGCCGCACCCGCAGCTCGTTGTACACCCAGTCGGCCACGGCGGCATGCGTCTTGTCGAAGACCACGAAGGCGTCGTAGGACAGGGCATCCGCGCCCCGCCGTTGCCCGCGCCGGGCAGCAGGCCAAGCCCAGGTGGAAGCAGTACCAGAGGTCCCAGCCGCACAGGTGCTGCAGCAGCGGCACGGCCACGCCAGCGCCACCGCCAGCAGCGAGAGGCCGAAGCAGTCCCAGGACAGGGCCTCGTCCAGGCAGAGGCGCAGGTCCTGCGCGAAGATGCTGCGGCCCTGCAGCTGGCCCGGGCTGCCGCACTTGACCTGGCTGGCCAGCCCGGGCACGGCCGCCTGCACCTGCAGCAGGAATTCCACGAAGACCGCCCCGCAGGCGCAGTGCAGGGGGTTGGCGCTCACATCCAGGACCTTCAGGGCGGCCGCCACCCGGGCGCCAAACCACGAGGGGTCCAGCGTCCGGAGGGCGTTGTGGCTGAGGTTGAGCTCTTGCAGCCGCGTGGCCGGAGCGAAGAAGCCGAGGGCCACGAAGTTGATGCGGTTGCGGCTGACGTCCAGCCTCTGGAGCCTGCTGTCCGCGGGGAGGCTGCCGTTGGTCAGGGCCTTCAGCTGGTTCCCCGCCAGGTCCAGGCTCTCCAGCCGGGGCAGGAGGGTCAGGCTGCTCCAGTTGAAGAAGGCCAAGTAGTTGTCCTGGAGCCGCAGCTGCTGCAGGCTCCGGGGGAGGTAGCCCAGGTTGCGCGGCAGGACGGCGTGCAGGTGGTTCCGGGACAGGTCCAGGCTGACCAGCTGGCTCAGGCCCTGGAAGAAGCGGAGGTAGAGGTCTCCCTCGTTCCACATGCGGTTCAGGGCGTTGCCGCTGAAGTCCAGGGCCCTGAGCGAGGCGCTGCGGAGCTCCGGGGACACGCGGCTGTGGATGGCGTTGTGGGCCAGGCTGAGGTAGCGCAGGCCGGGCAGCTGGTCCACGAAGCTGAAGTTGTGGCCCATGCCCTGCATGCTGAAGGCCTGGCTGTTGTAGCTGAGGTCCAGGGCCCGCAGGCAGGGCAGCTCCGTGAACGAGCGGCCGTGGTACAGGTCCAGCTTGTTGTAGGACAGGTCCAGCACCTGCAGGCTGGTCAGCAGCACGAACTGGGAGCCGTTGACCTGCGAGATGCTGTTGTAGCTCAGGCGTAGGCACTGGAGGCGCGACAGCCCGGCGAACATCTCCGGCTCGATCGTCACCAGGTTGTTCCGCGACAGGTCCAAGGTGAAGCTGAGGTTCTTGCAGTTTAGCATGAAGTCCTCAGAGCTGGGGGCGTCCCTGGGATCTGGCGCGAGGTGCCCCGAGGGCCGCCGGCTCGCCTCCCCAGCATCCGCCTTCCACGTGGAGGCATTCAGCCCCAGAGGCCCGCTGATGCGGTTGTTGGACAGGTCCACCTGGCACAGGCTGGGGTAGGCCTGGAAGATGCTGAGCTGGGCCCGGTTGATGAAGTTCATCTGGAGCTTGAGGGTCTTCAGCAGGGGCAGGCGGGCCAGCGGCCGGAGCGTGCGCTCGCTGAGCTCGCGGAAGAAGATGCCGGTCATGTCCAGGACCTCCAGGGCGCGCAGCCGCCCGAAGGAGGGCGCCAGGTTCATGTGGGCGTAGGACACCCCCTTGTGGTAGTTGAAGGACAGGTTGAGTTTGCGCAGCTTCCTCAGGCCCTGCAAGGCGGTGGTGTTTTGGATGCAATCGTACAGGAAGTTCTCGCTCAGGTCCAGCACGGAGAGGTTGCCCAGGCCCCGGAACCAGCGGGTGTCCAGGCTGGAGAGAGAACTGTCGCTCAGCACCAGGCCTTCCAGGTGGCTCAGGTTGCGGAAGGTGTCGGGGTGCAGCCTGGGGAAGCCCGGGGGGCACTCCACGCAGGGGTTGCGGGCGTGGTCGCACCGGCGGCAGTTTCCGCCCACGTCCAGCACGCGCAGGGCGGTGAAGTTGGCCAGGTCCGCAGGCCCCAGGGAGACGATGCGGTTGTAGGACAGCAGCAGGGTTTTCAGGCCGGGGGGCAGGCCGCGGGGCACCGCCGTGAGGTTGTTGTACTTGAGCGACAGGTGGGTGAGGTTGTGCAGGCCGAGGAGGGCGCCCGGGGCCACCTGCACGGCCCGGCCGCAGGGGTTCTGGTAGTAGCAGTTGCCGTCCATGTACAGGTTTGTCAGGGCGTGCAGGCCCCTGAAGCTGGTGGCGTCAATGACCAGGATGTTGGTGCGGCTCAGGGACAGGGTCCTGAGGGCGCGGGGCAGGGCGGGCACGGTGGTGATGTTGTTGTAGCTCAGGTTCAGCTCCTCCAGGGTGGGCACGGCCAGGAAGGTGCGGGGCTCGATGGTCATGTGGCAGGCCCAGTGCATGATGCTGAGGCTGCTGGGCGGGCAGTTCCACTTGAGGTTGAGACTCCGCAGGCTGGGCAGGTGGGCGAAGTCGAAGTTGTGGAGGTGGCGGATGCGGTTGCAGCTCAGGGAGAGCTTCGTGATGTTCCCACGGGGCGAGGACGCCGGGAAGTGCGGCACGGACGTCAGGAAGAGCCACTCGCAGTTGATGTAGTTGGGGGCCTGGAACTCACAGGGCAGGAAGGCGGGCAGGGCGCCCTGGGCCAGGGCCAGGGCCAGCACCTGGGCCTGAACCAGGAGAGACAGGGGCAGCGGGGCGCCATGGCAGGGGCCCTGTGGGGGAGGAGCGGGGGCAGGCGGTGTGAGTACCAGCCCAGCTTCACCTCCCCACCCAGGTCACCGAGTCCCCCCCAGCCCTCCCCAGGGAGGCTCCTGCCTGTCTGCCCACCCCCCTCCCGCCTCCAAGGCTCATGGGGAACCTGGACTTGGGTCGGGGACTCAGCCGTTGACGCAGAACTGCTCCTGAGACCCGGAACCCAGACTCATGGTCTAGACTTTCACTCATAACCAAACCCCAGCTGCACCAGAGCCGGGCAGGTGCCCGCAGGCCCCAGGCTCCCCCCACTCTTCCTCCGTCCTCAGCCCAGTTCTCTTCTCTCCTGAGCAAGGAGCCCCCTCCACCCTCCGCCTGCTGCTCCCCAACCCCTCCCTCTTCCTTTGGCCAAGACCCAGGCAGGAATGAGGGTCTCTCGCTGGGGTCCAGGCCGGGGACCGTCCAGGGCCTGGGCACCGGTGGGCACTGCCCAGCTCTTTCCCTGTGCCCAGGAGCCCCGGACCTGCTGCGGGTCAGAGCCAGGCCTGGGCGCCCAGCTTGGCTTTAGCCCCTGGGCCACAGCGAGCCCTCGGCCTCAGCCTCCTCCTCCACGCAATGGGTTGGGGCCTCCTGCTCGGAGACGGGCTCTGCTCTGATGTCCTCGGGGCCCAGGGAGTGCCCCAGGGCCATGTGGGTGACAGCGCGTCCCCTACTGTCTGTAGCTGCCAAGCCCACCTCTCTCCCCACCCGGCCCCCCGGCCCTGGTCCCCGCTATCCCCTCCCCGGGGGTTTGGGGAGAGAGGGCGACGGTCCTACCATGACTAGGAGAGGGGGCTTGTCCAGAGGGTCTCGCTTAGGCAGTCCCTTCCCGCTGACTGCTGCCAGCAGAGGAAGTGAGAATTTCACAACCTCGTAGCCCCCTCCCTGCCATGGCCATTTGCATAGTCAGATGGCAGACAGGAGGCCTGCTCCTTCCTCTTTCACTCCCCTCCTCGTCCCCGCCTGACCCGACAAGGCCACCCGTCCGTCCTGGGCTTCACACCTGTCTCCTGGGGGTCCTGGGAGACACGGGGCCCAAGCCCAGGCGACGCTCACCGAGGAACGAGCATTGGGGGCAGTGCCAGACCGGGCGGGCATGCCGACACCGTGCCAGGCCTCCCCCCTCACCCTCGCTCTCCTCCCTGCACCTGCCCTTCCTGGCCTGGTGGCCCCGCCCCAGAGCCCTTCGGGGCCTGGGGTTGGGGAGCTGAGCCTCCCCAGGCTGCAGCTGCACCCCCGGCCTGCTACTCCCTCTAGGAGCAGGGCCTCCCCGTCTGCGTCCCCTACATCCTGGTGCCGCTCAGAGCACAACCCCATGGCTGGGCCAGCCGGACCGCCTGGCTTGGCCTCCCACGCCGGCTCTTCCAGGCTCCTCGGCCCCGAGCCTCAGGGGCCCCAGCCCCCCAGCCAGGCCCTTGGGCTCCACTTCAGGTCCACCAGCACCTGCCCGTCGCCCGCCATCTCTTGCCTAGACCAGCACCATCAGCCCCTCTTCACGGGTGGCCGGCTTCTGTGCTCACGCCCACGCCTGTTCCCGTGGCCCCAGGTCACAGGAGGCCCCTCCTCGGCTCAGGCCCCTCCAGGACCCGTTCTGGAGCCAAAGCCACACCCACATCATGGCCAAGGCCCTGTAGGACCTGCCTCCCTGACCAGTCCCCACCACCCGGCCTCCCCGTGCTGGCCCGGCCACACCTGTGACGCTCCCGCCCGGGCCTGTGAACGTCCGGTTCCCTCTGCCCGAAGCTCTTCTCTCAGATCCTCCGTCGCCTCCATCGCCCCCATCGCCCCCCTCACGTCTCCACTCACACGTCGGCCTCTCGGTGGGGCCTCCCCGCCCTGTGGGTAAACCTTCATCCTGGGCCGAGCCCCTTTTCTGGCTGTTTTTCTTTTTTGTAAGTTTTTACCGATTCACGTGCCATCTCTTGCTTTTGCATCGTCTATTATATAGTCTTACTGCCCTGCTGGCACGTGGGCTTCTGCCTGCATCCCAGGGCCCACCCAGTGCCCAGCACACAGTAGGTGCTCTGTTTGTTGAAGCTGTGGCTGCCCAGCCCTCAGCTGGACAGAGAGGTTCTGAGTGGTGATGAGTGAACGCAGAGGCCTTCTGCTGGGGGAGGCAGGGCGGGGCCCCTTCTGCAGGGATGGACAGCCCAGAGCCCTCTCCCGGGCTGTGCCCACAGGAGAAAGGACAGTGCCAGGTCAGTGGCTGAACCCGCCGTCGACCCGGGTCCTCTCCTCACCCCTGCATCCCCCGCTGAGTCCTCAGCCCCAGGGAACCTCTCCCGGGGCCCCTGGGACCAAAGACCCAGGCCCTCTCCCCTCCCAGCAGCCACCGTCTGCCTTGGGGGCAGAAACCAGGTCCCTGAGGTGGCCGGGAGCTGCCAGGGAAGCCTGTGCGTGCGTGCACACACACACAACTGGACACGGCAAGATTTCAGACGCCCAGACACACCCGCCGTAGCCCAGCCCCACTGAGGCTGGGAAGCCCAGTGGGCAGAGCTCCCCAGGTGGGGCAGGCCGCGGAATGCCCCCAGGGAGCCCCTCGTCCCACTGCCCCACCTGTGAATTTATTCCTCCATAAAGGGGCTGGCAGGCGGAGTTAAGGGTTTTGAGAGGGGCGTCCCTGCGCCACCAGGAAAGGGAAGTGGCTATAATTAGAGCTGTCCTTCCCAAGGCAGGGGAAGCCGGACCAGCGGCAGCAGATGCTCCGCCTCTGGCTCTGAAGGGGAAGGGGCCGCTGGAACAGGTGTGGGAGCCGATTCCCCCCGAGGCCTCCAGGGGAGCCAGCCCTGCCCACGCCTGGCCTGAGCCCCGGATTCATTCCCCCCGTGTAAGCCCTGTAAGAGTGCATGTGTGTCGTTTAAAGCCGGTAAGATTGGCCTGCCGGTGTGGCTCAGTGATTGAGCATCGACCTATGAACCAGGTCACGGTTCGATTCCTGGTCAGGGCTCATGCCCGAGTT